TCTAAGTCAGTTTCCTCATTTGGAAAATGGGGCCATGTTGATTCCCAAGTCATACTGTCTCATGAGACCCTCCTTCAAACCAGTCAGTTCAGTTCATTTCCTGGCTCACAAGTAGTAAGCAAATATCCATTTGCCATAATGTTATTTTAGAACCCAAATTGCCCTGCATTTTACTTCCATTTTTAAAAATTTTATTGGTTTATTCTGTTTTCTCCGATTCACTGACCCATGACTTCATCACCATCCCTCACCCCCTCCTGTTCCCATGTTTCTTAGATCCCACCTGGCTAAACTGCATTCCTACTGAATCCAGCCATCTGCTTTGTCTACAGGAGACAGTGAAGCCTAAGGCACAAGGGTGCTCTGTCACTCAACACCTGCATATCTTTAAGAAAACTGCTCATCACTTCTGTAAAATGAGGATGATGATAGTAATGCCAGATGACTCATGGGTATATAATCAAGTTTAAAAGAGACGATACACTTAGACCTGAACTGACCATAGTAAGCTCTCAATAACTGTTTACTGGGATTCTCTGTATTGTTATTATTTAATGCATGGGTTGATGGAATGAAGTTGGGAAAATTATATACCTGGAACCACAAATACCAGATGGGTCTTTTGGGAGAGCCTGGCAACTCTGTTTATCTCCCTAGTATGTCTTTTCTCCACTCTCTCTCACACTATGTCACACCATCAACTCTACTTCAAACCTCCTTCACCCTCAGCTGACGACCTTCCCTCCTGCTGTGTGGGGGAAACAGAAGCCATAGGATCATCTGATATATAACTACCCGTACCTGCACTCACTGTCTCCACCTTCTCTATAATTCAATGGGCAAAGGGCTCTTACTTCCTTCAAAAGTTGACCCATCCTTGGGGTCCACATTCCCTCCCCTATGGCTTTTCCAAAGAGTGTCACCCTGAAATTACTCCTCTTTTCTCTGCATCTTTTGTTCCTCCCTAAGTGATCCCCCCAATGACCCTCAACTCCTGGTATGCATGCCCTAAGTGCGGGTGGAACCCAGGACTCACTTCTAACCAATAGCAAAGATGACAGTTTTATTGCTCCTGTGATTATAGTGCATTATATGAGACTCCAGCTCACTAGCAGACAGGAGATAAGATCTTCCTTGCTGGCTTGATGAAGTAAGAGGCTGAGTCAAGGAAGCCCACTTGACAAAGTACTGTCAGTGAAAAGAGGGACTCTAGGAGCTGAAGGTGAACACCAGCAAGAATCTGGGATGCTCAGACCTATAGATGCAAGGGAGTGAATTCTGCTGATAACCTGGGTGAGCTCAGAAGGCAGCTCCTCTTTCCCAGTGCAGCCTCAGGATGAGAACACAGCCCACCCAACACCTGGACTGCAGCCTGTGTGACTTAGCACAGACCCAGGGACATCGAGCTTGGACTCCTAACTGGTAGATATCTGTTGTAAGTAACGTCTGTTGTAAGTTAAAAAGTTTATGATACTTAGTTACACTGCAATAGAAAACAAATATGCTTGTCCTTTACTAGATAGTCCCATCATACACTAGAGTCTACTGTATCCTGTCAAAAATAAAGAATAAATCAAGACCACATGCCCTCTAGATGCTCTGCTTCTCTCTGCTCTCCTTTCCAGAAAAACTTGTAAAAGAGTTTTCCATGTGTCTCACTGTGTCCTCAACTCCATTCACTGCTTAGCCAATGCTAGCCACATCACTGATTCACATTCTTTTGCCAAAGACACCAACAAGTTCCACATTATCAAATCTGAATGCACATGCCTCGATCCTTATCTTATTCAATATCCCAGCCAGTATTCAGCACCACTTAGCATGCCCCATTTTCAGAACTATTTCTTCTCTTAGCTAACTGGTCTTCACATTCCCCAGTTTTCTGTCATTCATGGTTGCTGCCTTCTCCTACATTCAAACCTGCTCTCCAAGCAGCACTAAGCCACAGGGTCTGGGCCTGGTTTTCCTGTCATGGTCACTTCCTCTCTAGCTCCAGCTTTAATGACCTCAACGTGCTGGTGACTCCCAAATGTTTCTCTCCAGCCCTGACCTTTCCCCTCTGCTCCACATCCTATAGCCATAGGAATTGCAGCTTCCACTTGGGTGTTTAACTGTCATCTCAGATGTAACATGTCCAAAATATGACTCTGTTCCCTCCCCCAAATCTGTTGTTTTCCCAGTTTTCCCAACTGCAATGAATGGCACATCTAACCAACATTCACATGGGGGCCTCATCATGGATTCTCTTTCCTCCTCCCCCACCCTTACATCAGCAAGTTCTTGCAGGTCAATTGTCACAATAGATTCTGACTCTGTTCACTCCCCTCTAATTCCCTCCTGTTAACATAGAGAACACTGCCCTTACCTCTCTCTTGAACTACAGCACCTAGCTGGCCTCCTGCTTCTCCCTGCTGTCCACTGTACTCCATACTGCATGGCCTTTTAGGAACACAAGCAATCTTGTATGCCTTTACTGTTTAAAACTTTCCCAAATCTTTGCAATCTACTTTCAAAAGGCCAGCCAGGTTCTATGTTGCTGGCCCTGACCTGCCTCCTTGGTGTATTTCCAACCTATCAAGTCCCAGTCACACTCACTGGGACTTTCCTCCTTCTCACATCGATACTTTTGCAATTGTAGCCCTGGCTGGCGTAGCTCAGTGGATTGAGCACAGGCTGCGAACCAAAATGTCGCAGGTTTGATTCCCAGTCAGGGTACATGCCTGGGTTGCAGGCCATGACCAGCAACTGCACATTGATGTTTCTCTCTCTCTTTCTCTCTTTCTCCCTCCATTTCCTCTCTAAAAATAAATAAATAAAATCTTTGAAAAAAAGCAAACATTAAAAAAATACTTTTGCAATTGTTATTCTTTCTTTCCGGAAGCATCTTCCTTTCAAGCTGCATGGCTTGGATCTCAGATCAAATATGTCCCCTTCAGGGAGGTCTCCCCCATAACAGCATTCTCTTCCTCCTAGACTCTGATACCAACATTACCATTTCCCTCTCATCATGTATCACAATCTCAGGCAACCATGCTTATTTATCTGTTGATTTGATTGTTGCTATGACTACTCTCACCAGATGTAAGTATATGGAAGGAGCATACTTCTGTGTTTCAGAATAGTGCCTGGCACCTCATAGGTGCTCAATAAATATTTGAATAAATGAATGCATATATATCTATATGTATGTATGTATGCATGATGTGGACATTGTTATATGCATTTATAATGAAATGTCCTGTTACATTCCATTAGAAAAATCTCTTCAGATTCAATGTCAAAATGGCTGAAAAGCAGTAAAACTTATATATAAATTATACCTCAACCTACTCAATATATACATTTCTGAAAAGTGAGCAAACCAAACATTATAAAATAAAACCCATTTTGAAAGAATATAACAAATTTGTTAGGAGATGTGAAAAATCTTTTTTGATAATGTTAAATTATCATACCCTAGTTATTCTGTATTTATAGATTTGATTTCTCCCCCTACATTGTGTTTGCTTGGGTCACAGAGCATAAATTATAATTAATTTTTAATCACAAATTGTTCAAGCACTGTTCAAACCACAAAGAATATTTTCAGTATTTCTGGACAAAAATGCTAAAGATTCATTTCTTCTATTCCTCAATGTCACTGATGCCATATGACTTAGTTCCAACCCAGCTATGTCCTACAGCCATCCAATGCAGGCAGGCTTTCTAACAGGCCATGGTAATGAGTGTGGTCATGGTCTGGAGTTCAACAAGTAACTGTCAAAACTATCTCCCCAAATGACTACTTGCTGAAAACTTCTCATTCCCAGAGCAGATATTTCCAGGGTGGTCTAGGAAAGAAATCTGTGACCATACCTACTCTGAAGCTCTTCTAAATGTTAATATTTAAAGTTTCTTTGGAACTACAATTTCATGCTTTAAGGAGGCAACTTTTACGCAAGCTCCAGGGGGAAAAAATTTAAGTGGCTATTAAACTCAATTGTTTAAGTATTTTTCCTAGCTAATATACCCAAATCTCCTGAAAACTCCAGTAAGCGGTTTATGCAGTTGACTTTAAGATCCACTGTTGAGAAAAAGCACTCTCTCCCTTCTTACCACTTGCTGCCCTCAAAACTTCTTAGCAACACACACTGTGCAGAGCCTCAGCCTGGTTCGTCTTGTCCAATCGCATGCCTGCAAGCCCAGCCAGTCAGTTGTGTAATAATAAACCCCTTATCTCCTGAAGATACAGAAACCGAACGAGGTCGGTGCTTCAGTGCACAGGGACTTCGCTGGAATCCTCAGCACACACTCACGTTCATTTTCAATGCCAAATCCACCCCACCCTACCTCCAATTTTCTCAATTTCCTCCTTTTTACTCATTTGCAATTTTGAGGAGAGAAAGAAGCCAAAATGCTAAACAATGTCAAGTTTAAACAGGGGAGGGCAGGAGGCACTGCCAACGCTGCCAGTAAAATGCATGTAGAAACCACCGGCTTGGTTGTGCCTGCACTGGACTCACTGGTTCCCTCCCAGTGCCTGGGATGGAAACTCCGAAACAATTGTTCTGGGATGGAGAGGGGCTGAGATGGACAGGACAAACTGCTGATGGTAGCAATGAGCCAGACTAGCCCTCAAATCCAGGACAGGGGATATTCCTGCTTCCTGGATGATGTCTCACCCCTCCTGCCTTGCCTGTCCCTAACGGGTGCAAACCCGCGCCTACCTCATCCCAACTCCAAGTTCCCGACCTCACCGGGACAAGTGGCGCTTTCCTGCACCCGCACGAGACTCGGCCTTTGAGGAAGGGGCAGCGGCGGTCTGTATTGGGGCCTGGACCGGCAGGGCTCACAAGACCCGCGCAGTCGATGCGCCTGACACACCCCTCCCCGCCTGACACACCCCTCCCCGGCCCCTCCCCGGGCGGTTCCCTCCCGAGCCCTTGGGCCCCTCCCTGGCCTTCTCCTCCCCTGACTGTGCCATCCTCTGTCTGCTTGTCCCTCGCCTGCCCCGCACTCACCTTCACCACACCCCGGGCCGGGCCCCTGGGGACCGCGCGGCCAGGGCCGAGGGGCAGGAAGCGCTCCTCGCTGTCCTCGTCCTCCTCGTCGCCATCCACCACCTCGATGACCCCCTCTTCGTCGTCCTCCTCGTATTCGTCATCGTCCTCCTCCGCGCCCCCTCGGGGCTTCTCCGGCACCCGCCCGAGACCCCGCCGCCTACGGCTCGCGCCCTCTTCGTCTTCGTCCTCCTCGCCCAGCAGCAGCAGCACCGGCGACGCGATGGCCCCGGAGGCCCGAGGGAGACCTGTCCCCGCACTCCGTGGCGGCGGCAGGGGCAGTGGCGGCCTCCCGATCTCGGGCGCCGAGCCCGAGGGTTGCAGCGCGGAGCCCCCACGGCGGCCGCCCAGGCTGGAGCGCTTGGCCAGGCGGCGCGCCTGCATGCCTGCAGCTGAGCTGTCCCCTCCCCTCCACTCCCTCCCCCTGTGGCGGCTCCTCTTGCTGTTGCCGGGAAGCACGCCGGCCCGGGCTGCTGGGCTAAGGCGGGGCTACGGCGGGATGGGGGTGGGTGTGCTCTAGCCGTGCGCTAACACCTCCAACGCCGCCGCTGCCCTGGAGCCGCCAGCCGAGCTGCGCCCCACGCGGCCGGCGGCCGGGCCTGCGCCTCTCCGGCCTACAGCGGCCGCCCCGGCGCGAGCTGTCGGCGCCGCTGCCACAGCTCCCGCTCGCCGCCCTCCCCGCAGCCCCGGCCCCCGAGTCGGCAAAACCCGGACTGGACTACTCCCCGACCCATGTTTTCCAGATCCAGGGCTTACGAGAGGCCGGGCCAACGCCGGCCGCCTCCCCCAGCCCGAGCCGGCGACTCCCTGTGGATGGAGGGCCTAGCACTTCGCTGCTGCTTGGGTTGTCAAAGTAAGACTCTGAAGGAAGAAATTTGCCCCCGCCAAGTTAAATTTGAATTGTTTCTGCGTGATGGCAGCTCCTGAGCGTCTGTGCTATCAGGGAAGGTGCCCCCATCGGAAATTTGGGGTTAGTCCCTAGAGTCACTAGACTCATCTGGATTCTTGAAACACGTTCATGGCGTTGCCTGCCCATCTGTCCGTCTCTGAGTGCACCCTTCTAGGCCCTGCCTATCAAGCAATCTGGGCCCTTGTGAAGTCTTTACTTTCAGCTTTTATTTCTGAATTCCTACCTGGAGTGCTTGGTTACAGCTGCTACACGCCAAGATTTCTGTTCGCTGTCAGGGCCTTTGGAGAAAGAAACAGGATGGCCTGTTCCAGACTGCTTGAATTTGTTATTTAAAGAAAAAAAGTATGAAATGAGATCAAGCTTGGAAACCAATAAACTGTTCGCTGTATAACTAATGACTCATTTTCCGAGGATTTTTAGGTGTGACACAGAAAAGCCACTGGCTACTGTATGAGGTTAGGTTATTTGGTAAGCCATGCCCTTTACACTCACATCACATGCCAAATTCCACCTCTGTAGGTGAGGCCTGGGGGGACACCTAACTCACTCGGTACTATGGCAGGCACCTCCAGGAAGATGGCCTCACCCTCAGCTGCCTTTCCCGTAATTACTGTTGGAGATCTAACAACGCTGCCCTCTGAAATGCTTGAAGGAGCTCATTAAATGCTCACTTATGGTGTCTTCCAACTGTTGAATGGGGGCAATGACAAGGATTATAAAATGAACTTCTTGTTCTCCTTGAATCAGATGGGCTTACTGATACACCTATTTCAGGTAATGACATTCTCATTGTAACCATTCAGGCCAAAAATAGCAGGATCATTTTTAACTGCCTTCTGTCTGGTATCCCCAGAGGCAGTTGTCCACTGGTAGGATCCACTATTCTCTCTGAAATGCTTCTGGCATCCACTCCTTCCCTTCCATTCCCAAACCTCCTACACTGTTCATGGCTACCACATGAAAGTTTCCAACCAGCTTTCTCCACACCTTTCTTCAACCACACACCCTCCTCTTCTCCCCCACATACCAGCACCAGATTCATCTTCTCCAGGCCCTTCATATCACGGTATTTTCCCGTTGAACTCTTCGCTTGTAAATATTCCATTTAAGACTTCAGATAGAAGGTTGAGCATTTGAAGAGATGGGTGTGTAACAGTAAGGACCAGCCAGGAACTGAACTAATCAAATCCATGAGTGCTTACAAAGAATGGAGGAGGGCCACTAAGTGTTTTCGTCTCAACTGCAAGTAATTTGCCTTGGTCAGTTTGGGAGATGATTTTAGGGACAGGCAGCAGGGTCCTTCTCTGACCAGAAGAATAAAAGATCAGGGCCAGGGCTTGACTGACAGGTGCAGTGGTGAAGGATGAGGAAGGTGTGAGGCAAGAGGGGAAGTACCTGGATCCCAATCCTGGCTCTGAAACTTACCAGCTATATGTACTTACTCCTCTCCTCCTCTCTCAGTGCCTCAGTTTCCTCATCTGTTAAATAGGGATAATAGCAGTCCCTATATAATAGTAAACTTGTTTTGTAGGATAGTAAGTTATCCTACAGATACGTGTAATATGTGTAATCAGCTTAGAAGAAGAGCTGGTACAAGAAGGTCTGTATTAAGGCTCATTAGAGTCAATGTGTTGATATTAATACACAAACAAAGCAGCTTGGGATATTGTCGAAGAACAACAAGTTGACTCTCTTTTAGGTAAGCTCAGAACAGTCAATAACTAGCAAAAATGTGCTTTTAGAGCCAGACTACATTTTATCAAGGGGCTGTGGTCAAGCCAAGGATAAAGCTTTTTGTGTCTGAAATTGACATCGATAAAAGAAAATAAGCATGTTCCTGAAAACTGACAGTACAAACAAGATTAAGTGAGTCATGCTTGGTATTTGTGGTTTAGTGGGAAAAGTTCTAATTTACACCACTGTTCTTTCTTTCAAAATTGCTGTAAATGCTTTGAAGTCAGTTGTTCTCTTTCTCAGGCCACCTCAGTAGATCCCATGCATATCCCCATTTCCCGGCCCCACTAGGCCTGAGAGGCTGCCCTCTGAGAAGGAGAGAGACTGGCCTTGTTATGGGGACCATTAAGTGGAGGCAAATGTCACAGAAGAGGCTGGCTGAGATGGGCTGTGAGGGATGAGAAGGATCTAGATGGGCAGGGACATACAGGCCATTTAAGACCAATCTCATGATATTACAGGACATCAGTGAGAAGTAAAATCAAATGATCTAATTTGCCAGGAATCAAGAAATATCTAATGACAGAGGCTCATGACACACTGCACTCATGATGTGGACTTTGAAGTCAAATAATGCCTCATGATGTTAAGCAAGTGCAGAGGAGTCATTGCTGTTTCCTTCCCTCGATGCTCCCTAAACATCACATGTTATTACTTCTAAAACCAGGCATACTTGCCACTAGGACACCCTCTCCGTCATCTGGTGGTCCAATTTAAGAAATCATTGTTGAAAAAGTAAAGCAGAGGAAGAGCTAGAGAGAGCTGTGGGTTTAATATAAAAAAACACTATATTTAAGACCTATTTAATATACTTGATTTATTATTATTACATTTATTTATTATAATTATATTTTACTTATAACTACCTATAATTATACATATGATGCATTTATTTTCTATGATATTTATTTATATTTTTACATTATATTTAATATCAATAAATATATTAGAACAAACATAAGAACAGTAGAAATTGTAATGTGAAATCTGAATGTACACTTGTAGCAGCGGCCATGGCAATGGACGTTCATCTCCCTTCCTTGGTGGGTGGGGTCTGTTTTCCCCTTTGTCCTGCATGCTTTGATTGAATGGTCTGTGAGGTGCTGAGCAGGACTGAGAATGGGCTTTGGAGTTAAGTTCCATTCCACAACCACAGAGCAACTGGCTGCCTTGGCCTGGTTTCTCCAGATCTTAAATGACTCTTAGAACTTTGAGTGCTGAGCTCCAAACATTGTTTTCACATGTACTGAGAAATTGTACCAAAAGAAAAAAATCAGGCTCAATATGATCTTTTGTTCAAATTTCAAAAACTCAAATTCAGGAAAATAGTAACACATCCCCCAAATCACGAGATGTAACTGTGACCAGTGCAGAGATACAACAACCTCCCACCCAACAGCAACAGCTCTTTGATGTCCTTGAGAGCCTTAAGTGGCTGGATTCTTGGAGAGTAGTATGTCCTTTTTAAAATTATTTTCAAACTGAATGTAAAATTTTGCCCTTTAAATAGGTTATAAAGGTTTTAAGGTTAGTTTTTCCACACCTCTGGAAAACTTAAAAATCACTTCAGATGATGACTGTCATCCAACTGTATGAAAAATAGATTAAGACATCTCTTAACAGCTGTCAGGCTAAATGCCTGCCTAAGTCAAGCATGAACGCCCCTCCCCCCAGATAAATGTTTCTTCCACAAGCAATTAATTTCAAATCTCTTTAACAACAAAACACACTTTCAATGCATGTCTTTAAAATACTTCCCAGAGACTTAGATTTGTGTGTGTGTTTGTGTGTGCATAAAAAGGATTAGAATTATTTTCTTTTTTAGGTAACTCATGTTTGCTATTTCAGGTGTGTGTGTGTGTGTGTGTGTGTGTATGTGCATGTGTGTGTGAGACTTATTTCATTATCTGGTCAGCTAGTGCCAGATAGTGCAGATCTATAAGCAGCTCTGGCCACACACCTGTCAGCCTTGTGACCAGGGACAGGTTTGCCCCTTGCCTTTTGCAGCAGTTAAGGAAATCCCAGTAAAGGACTCTGGCAGGCCCAGTCAGCATCGTGAGCCCACATCAGTGGCCACACATGGAACACTGTGATTGGTTACCTTCAAACCACATGCATAAATGGTTAAAGGATGGGTACTGAACTGGGCAGAAAAAGAACAAAAAAGTTGTTATAAATATAGCCAATACTATCTAAAATCTGAAACATACAATTTAAAAAAATCGTATCTAATCTCTCTACCCAAAAAGAACCACGCTTATTGTTTTGGTATGCTTATTTTAATTTCTTTTCTATGCATCTTTTTTGTTACATATTATTTTCTGTTTTTCCACCTGGTTTTACAATGTTAGCTTTTCTTTCACATGTGGCAATATACCTTGGAGATGGATTTTGAACTAGTCTAGCAGAACAGAATAAATCATAAAAATACTACAAGCAAAAGTGCATGAATATTTTTATCATCTCTGAGGAATGACAGCCATTTTAAAGAGCATATGAAATTAGAGGCTGATAAATTGGACTAAAAAAGACCTTTAAATTTTATTATAAATTTACCATTCAAAAGTTTAAAAATAGGTGAAAGATGATTAGAAGACATTTTTATCATGAAACCAAGGATTAATGTACAGCAGAGTACAACCAATTCAGTATTATTAAAACAATTCAATATAATATTCACCTATCAGGCTGGCAGACACATTAAAGCTTTGATAACATTCAGTGTTACTGAGAGTGTGAAGAAACAGGTGTTCGTGTATTCTGCTGCAGTGTTGACAATAACTCCAGAAGGCAGCCAGCATTGCCACCTCTAGCTCTCCATCCTAGAGAAACACGAGCTCAAAGGAGCGTGGACAGGGTATCTGATACAGCACTGGTTTTAACAGCAAAAATATTAAGAACAGTGTAAATAGTCATCAAAGGGGGAATGGTTTTAAAAGATGCCTCTGACAATGTGACCCACTACTCTGCTCCTCAAAAGAGCAAGTCACCTTTCTGTGTTCTCACAGGGAAAGGGCTAACATTTGTAAGAGAAAAGGCAAATGATAAAGTAATAGTTAAAAATGATTTCATTTGTGTTCAAAACCAAACCCCACAAAATATATTTTATATTTCCACATAGTGTGATTTCTGATAGGAAGATGGATGGACAGATGGGAAAGTGTCTGAAAGACACCTTTCAGCCTCCAGGGGTAGGGGTGGGTGTATGGGATTGAGGAAGGGGCACAAGAGGGCTCCTACTTTCTGTATTTTTTTGACTCTGAAAAACAGTGTATTCAAATGCTGCCCAATTTCTTTTAAAGTAGAGTAAAAACTTTTCACAGCCTAATTTTTACTACAGAAAATTCTGACAAGCCATGATGGCATGATTTCCCCATGTTCTGCTTGCTAAGTAGGGGCTGTCAACCTTGGCACAGAAAGCTCTGTGCACCTTTTGGATTCTTTGCTTAGCATCAGAAGTGGAGTCAGTGGTCAAAGGGTGTGCACGTTTTCTCTGTACATTTTACTGGAGGGCTCTTGGAAATAGCTGCCTCGATTTACATTCTGACAACCATGGGGAAGTGGCTGGTCTCCTGTTCCATCCTTTGCTTTGATTGTATCTCACTCTTTCCATCTTTCCTTTCTGATCATTAATGAAGAAAAGTCTTTTCCCATAAGTTTGTGCTTTATCTCCCTTTGTGTGAATTCTTATCCTTTTCCCACAGGCCTATGAGAGTCTGGATTTTCCTTTCCATTTGTGTGAACTCTAGACCTTAAA